CAGCGTTTTGTCCTTACAGGAATAGACTCTTATTCTGGTTATGGATTTGCCTTTCCTGCATGTAATGCTTCTGTCAAAACTACCATCCAGGGACTTACAGAATGCATTATCCACCATCATGGTATTCTGCATAGCATCACTTCTGACCAGGGAACTCACTTCACAGCCAAAGAAGTGCGACAGTGGGCCCATGGTCATGGAATCCACTGGTCTTACCACAATCCCCACCATCCTGAAACAGCTGGCTTGATAGAACGATGGAATTGTCTCTTAAAGACACAGTTACAGTACCAATTAGGTGGTAATAGCCTGGAGGGCTGGGGCAGGGTCCTCCAGGAGGCAGTGTATGCTTTGAATCAGTGTTCAATATATGCTACAGTTTCTCCTATAGCCAGGATTCACGGGTCCAGGAATCAAGGGGTGGAAGTGGGAATGATTCCACTCACTATCACTCCTGGTGACCCACTAGGAAAGTTTTTGCTTCCTGTACCCTCGACTTTGCACTCTACTGGCTTGGATGTTTTGGTTCCAGAGGAGGGAGTGCTTCTGCCAGGAGAGACAACAACCATTCCATTTAAGTGGAAGCTAAGACTTCCCCCTGGACACTTTGGGCTTCTGACTCCCTTAAGTCAGCAGGCTAAGAAAGGAATAACAGTATTAGGAGGGGTGATTGACCCAGACCACCAGGGGGAAATTGGACTTGTTCTCCACAATGGCGGTAATGAAGATTACATCTGGAATGCAGGAGATTCCTTAGGGTGACTTTTGGTGTTACCATGCCCTGTGATTAAGGTCAATGGGAAACTGCACCAACCCAATCCAGACAGGACAACAAATGGCCCAGATCCTTCAGGGATGAAAGTATGGGTCACTCCTCCAAGGAAAGAGCCAATACCTGTCCTGCAGAGGTGCTTGCTGATGATGGAGGAAATACAGAATGGGTCATAGAGGAAGGTAGTTACAAATACCAACTTAGGCCAAGTGACCAGTTGCAGAAACATGGATTGTAATTGACATGAGTATTTTTGTCCTGTTTGGTTAAGAATAGGCTTGTGCATGTATACACATGTTAAGCAGATACTTGAGTTATTCCTTTTTTGAATATGTAATTGAGATGTGTTAAGTGGTTAAGTGTTGTGAACCTATATGATTATATTGGGTTATGAGACACTAAAGGACTAAGCATCCCTTGAAGACCTTCTCACCTACTCTAAGATATATAATGCATTGGTCATTGTATTATGGGATAGTTATATCATGTTAGGTGAAATTATGACCTCAACTTTGTTTTAATTTGAAAATTAAGCATGACATAGAGAGATGCTATTGGGCGTCAAGTTGACAAGGGGTGGACTTGTGATGGCTAATTCTGGGTATCAGTATGAGAGGATCTGGGATTAACTGAAATGAAAGAGATCTTCTTGATT